TAGTCTAAAACAGCACAGAAATTGCAAAGTGCAACAGATGGAAAGGCAAATTAGTTGTATTAACTAAAGGAAACAAGCGTCTCATAGTCAAAAGTGTAGTGTAGTACATCAGTATGCAAAAGCAAAGGGACAGCAAAGATACAAGGATACAAGATGACAATATAAGAGTGACAGTAGGAAGAGTGACTGGAACAGTAACAGGCAAGGCAGAGAGCCTTATAAGTTAGAAATACAACTTAGGTAAATGCTGACAGAGGGTGAGCAGCCACTTTAAGTTAATGTGTGTCTAATAACATTACTTCCCTCAGTAGACCAGGCATTATCAATTCAGGGAGACTAGATCCACAAACCCAAATCTAACATTCAAAATTTCATGTGCTTATAAGGATACCATCTGCCCAGAAGCCGCACCATCCAGGAGACCTATCCTTGATCGCCAAGTAACTCCAATGTTTTCCTTGTCCCTTTTAAAAAAATGTTCTCTTCCTTGTTCATTTTGCATAAAAACTTGCCACTTCCTCGCATGCCTCCCAGTTCTCTGGACTCTTGAGAATGGAAACTACCTGCTTCCTAAATTGTTAAAGTCTGGCTCACCTAAATTGTCTTCAACATTTTAACATCGTATGTGTGCAGAAATTAAGCATCTGGTAAACTCGGCTATCGGTTATTCATGGTATCACTTCAGTTTCCTCGTGCCATTCCTTTGTTTCCAAAAGGACAAGCTAAAGGACCTAATTCAGACTTTGATACACAGACAAGAATTATATCAGTGCTCAGCTATGTAAACATCTGTCAGGACTGTCTCTAAAACTGATGTTTCCAAGTCGTCAAGTCTGAGCCTTGATTTAGCTCTTTTCTCTTAGTTTGGGAAGTGTCCAGCTCTTTGAAGGGATGGAAGCAAATCCAATCTGAGCAAGAATACCAACTGGTTACCAATTACATAAGAGGACAGAATTGATATCCTGAAAGTACAGATGTTATAAAGTACAGAAGCTATTAATGTTAATGAAATTCTGAGCTGATGCTCAAAGATGCACATCACCCCATGGTATACTAAAAAAATTATCTGGTCTTTGACCTGGGTTCCTGGCAGATCTTCAAAAGCCCTTGGAATTCTTTCTAAGTGATAGGAGTTTTTGTTATGCTAATGAGGTGATTCATGGTGGTTCTCCAGATAGTTTCAGGATGGGGGCTGCTCAGCAGAAAGATGAACCAATTGATTAGAAGTTTGGGGCTTGGGGCCGCCTGGGTGGCTCAGTCGTTAAGCATCTGCCTTCAGCTCAGGTCATGATCCCAGGGTCCTGGGATCGAGCCCCACATGGGGCTCCCTGCTCCGCGGGAAGCCTGCTTCTCCCTTTCCCACTCCCCCACCTTGTGTTCCCTCTCTCGCTGTGTCTCTCTCTGTCAAATAAATAAAATCTTAAAAAAAAAAAAAAGAGTCACAGGATATCAGCCTCAAGAGAGAGGAGGGTGGGTTGGAAATTGAGTTCACTCAGACACACCGGCCAATGATTTAATCAATCATTCTTACATAATGAAACTCTAGTAAAAACTCAGGACACTGAAGCTCAGTGGAGATTCCTGGTTGGTTAACACATTGATGTGCCAGGAAAATAATGTACCTTGACTCCATGGAGGGAGGACATGGAAAGGCCAAACCCAGGACTCTCCCAGACTTCACCCTATGTGTATCTTTTATAATAAAACTGTAATCGTAAGTTTCCTGAGTTCTGTGAGTCATTCTTGTGAATTATCAAACCTGGAGAAGGTTGTGGGAACCCCTGAATTGGTAGCCAATCAGTCAGAAGTGTGGGTGGCTGAGAACCCCTGGAACTTGTGGCTGGCATCTGAAGTAAAGAGATAGTCTTATGGGGGATTCTTAGGCTTCTGCATCCAATTCCAACAAGGCAAGGGGAGATACCGCCCCCTCCCTTACTTCCACCACAACACCAAGCAAGTCCCAGACATCAGCAGAGTGTCCGGCAGGGCATCCAAAAATTCAACGTAATTCTGACACTATCTACCCAGACATGGCATCAGATTCCACAAGTTAAAGGTTCAGTCCTACAAAACTGTCCCCCACCCCGACTTCAGATACCAGTCACAAGCCCCAGGCTGTTACCTGTGTTTCTAACCAACCAGCTACAGAATGGAGGTTCCAACCACCTCCTCCTTGGATTTGATTAATTTGCTAGAGTAGCTCACAGAACTCAGGGAAACACTTATTTATGTTTACCAGTTTACTAAAGGATATGATAAAGGATATGAATTAACAGCCAGATGAAGGGATACAAAGGGCAAGGTACCAAACAAAGGAGCTTCTGTCCTCATGGAGTTTGGTGGTGTTTGGTGACACATGGAAGCATTCTGGTTCCCCAAGTGTGGAAGCTTTCTGGAAAAAAAAGGACCAATAAGCTGCCCTCTTGGCTTTATATGGAGGCTTCATTACATAGTCATGATGGATGTCTTTAGCCATTGGCTGTGTCAACCTTCAGCTCCTCTCCTCTTCTGAGGTTGGGGGGTGGTGGGGAGGAGTGGACTGAAAGTTCCAAGCTTCTAATCACATAGTTGGTTCTTCTGGCAACCAGCCCCATCCTCAGGTGCTTTCCAAAAGTCACCTCATTAACATAACAAAAGATACCTTTACCATTCTTCTCATTTTCTCAAGGAAATTCCAAAGGTTTTGTGAACCGTAAGACAGAATTTGAAGAGGAAGACTAAATATATTTGAGAAATATACTTTGGTTCATCCGAAAGACAAAATATATGTATAGTTCTTATCCACAAGAGTGGATTCTGGGTTTTGACCATAGAGGCATCTTCTGAAGTCACAACCCTCAGAAGAAAAACATTTTCTAAGATAAGGTTCTATATCTCCCTTCGTACATATCAACTTTATTCTTAATATTCCATAGTCCCTTAAAATACTCATCGGCTTTCCGTAACTATTCTAATTATAAATCTCCAATCCTACATGTTTCAGCAATACATCTAATACTGCTACCATAAATTGCTCTAAATTCCCAGGGGAAGGAAGATATATGTGTATCTATTATTACTTGCATTTGTCAAATAGGCAGAACCTAGAGAAAAATAATCATTTTTCTTTTCTGAACAGAGCAAGCACTAACTTTGATATCATGTGACAACCCAAGAGAGTTCAGGAATTCAGTGGAGAACCTTATGAGGTTATAGGATAGTGGAAGTCAGAAAAACACAAAGACAAGGAAGCAGATTTCATTTTTCATTTTACAGGAAACTGATAGCCAGATTAAGAGTTTGAGTTATGGGGCACCTGAGTTGGTTAAGCATCCGACTGTTGATTTCGGCTCAGATCATGATCTCAGGGTTGTGAGATGGAGCCCTGCATTGGGCGCCACACCTGCTTAAGATTCTCTCTGTCTGTCTCCCTCTTTCACCCCACCCCCTCTAAAAAAAAAAAAAAAGAGTTCGAATCATTTGCCCATTTGCTGCTCCTGGGGAAAGCTGAAGTTGGAGCTCCTCCCCTGATGTGGCCTGGCGTCCCTCCTCCAGTAAGTTTGGAGATTATGATACTGAAATAACAAGTCACTGAAAACCCAAATAAAAATACTTTATCTATTGGCCTTCCTAAAAATTTAGAGAATCTGTTAGTCAATTTACATAGTGACTTAATATTGAAATTAGCAGATAAATTAGAGTTTTAAAGAAAGAGAAAGTTGTAACTGCACATTCCTGCCCCTGAAGCAGAAAAGGTGTACTTTACACACAACTAGACCTGCTGTTCCCCAAAGGCCCAATTACTATCATGATCAAGTATAAACTCCTTAATTTAGCACTCAAGATTTGACATCAAACTATCAAACCAGTCTTTCAAAAAGAATCTCCACTACTCATTAACAGGAGTTCTCCAGGGTGATCCTTCAGTTTACACCAAGAATGACTCCTCTATGCTCTCCCCCAGTCCTGTTTCCTTTGGCCCCTTCTGCTCCTTCCCTTGGCTTTGGAGTTTGTCCCCACCTCACCCCGCCCCCAAGTAGGCTGTGAGCCACTCCTGAGTGGAAGAAAGGACCCCAGGCCGTGTAGCTGGCACTCTTCGCTGACACCCTGGCCCTCCTCCTCTGGGCTATGGCTAATGTGGGCAATTCCCCACAGCTCTTCTTTATTCTTTGTAATAGATTCTGCCCTGGGCAGATCACCACTATGGAAGAAAAAAGTCTAACCCAACAAAAAACCTAAGCTTTGTGTGCAGGTGTCATGAGAAACTTTCAAAGCCACTTATTTAAAAAATGCTACAATAGTAAGGGAGAGATGCAACCCCCTTCAAGGCCCAATTCAAGCTCCACCTTCCTCATGAAGTTTTATGTGACCGACAGGCCCCATTTCCCCTCCATCCTCTGGATCTCCTAACAGATAATCTGAACATTAATATGGCATGTAATACATGTGTATACCACCTTTAAATAGTTTTCTATGACTGCATCTTCATCTCCCAGACAAAGCCCCTAGCTTCTCAAGGAAGGATCTGTTTGAGTTAGACAAGGCTGTAATTAGATATAAATCCAGTGGCATCTGGTATATGATGGATGCTCAATCAACATTTCTTAATTGATGACCGAGCCACTATTAGACACAAGCTGAAAACCTCAATGAGTGCAACAATCTGTTAATTTCTGTGATGGTTAGCAGAACCTAACACTTGTCTAAAGACCCCAGAGTGAGCACCCTCTCTGTTTTAAGTACTACAAATCGGATTCTTGTGTAGATTCAAATCGGTCAACACTCTGGAAGGAATCCTGGACTAAGAGCATCAGGATTTCCAAAGCTGCTATTTTTTAAGGGCCTTAAAAGAGCAAACACCCACACAGCTTCTGCAAAAGGAAGGTAGGTAATCGCATTAATAACTCTTTGTATTTTACTTGCATTGTTATGTGACTTTTGGAACAACCTGGAGAGGTAGAATGGGAAGTCATTAAAGTCGAAGGGGCAGAGAACACTAGGTTGATTCTTTTCCAACTCACTTTTAGGCAGGAAGCATCAGCATATTACATATTTCTTCTTAGACATCTGGACTCCTTCACAAAGAGGTCTCTTCATTTGTAACTCCTGAGAACTTGGGTCTCCAGAGCTCCTAGTTCCACAGAAGATGTTGAAATGTTTCCTTGTTGGCATTCTACAATCTATCAAACTCTTCTATGCTTATTTTAATCGCCATTTGGATGTAGGAACAGCCCCCGGGACCTTGAGCCCTCCTCCGCTCTGGGGCACCCATACAGCTTTTCAGATGAGTTAAATCAAGCCCAGAGGTCTGCGAGAGTACTAACACATCATCTTCATATGCCATATATCATCTACATAACCAGCCCTGAAGCGTTTACCCACGTGCCCCCACATTGTAGTCACTAAGCCAAAATTCTAGGGCTCCCTCTCCGCGCGGTACTTCAAAATCCAGCCTGCACTTAGCGGGCGGGGAGCTTACGGTTCGACTGAGGACTGCGGGGCAAGTGGGAGGAACTAGCGGTGAGCGGGGGAAGGCGGGACAAATGTCTCCCGGCAACGGCCCCGGCGATTGGCCAGCCCGTCTGCAGCCGAGGCCAATGGCCAGGCGCGCGTTGCACCGAGTGCGGCTGCGCGGGAGATTCAAATCGGTAGCGGCTTCTCGCCGGCGGCGCGGGTGGGCAGCTGTTGGCCCGCGTCCTCTCGCCATGGATAACCCGGAAAATGTCTTTCAGTAAGTGTTGGTCTGGTGGGATGGGGGCGAGGCGGGGGCGCAGTCTCCGGCTGTGGACCGAGGAGGGGGCTGGGGTACCTAGGATTCGGGGTCTGCGGGTCCCCGCCCGGGCCGGCCGCAGTCCTGCCTCCTTTTGCCCCTCCCGCCCCTTTCCGTGGCTTTGGTGTGTTTCCTCCCCGCCCTCACTCCTACCCAGCCAGGCTGTGGGCCACTCGTGGGTCGTGGAAAGGGCCCCCGACCGTGTAGCTGGCGCTGTCCGCCGAGACCCCGGCCCTCGTCCTCCGAGCTGCGACCACGGTGGCAGTTTAGGGGGATTTGGCCAATTCGTGAGGCCCTCGGAGCTCTCGGTTCATCTCTAAGGAATCCGCTCTGGGCAGATCGTCGCCGTGGGAGAAAAAAGTCTAACCTAACAAAAACCCTAAGCCTTGCGTGTAGGTTTCATGAGAAACTTTCAAAGCCACTTAATTAAAAAAAAAAAAAATCTACAGTAGGGAGAGAACTTAAAATAGCTCTTACCCATAATCCCACAATCAATTTGAAAAAAGTCTTTGAATAACCTGAACTTTATTTTTTTTTAATAACGTGAACTTAACAAAAAAAGCTATGCCTATTGTCATTTAGGTTAACCTGCTAACAATTTCTTACATTCCCACACCTTTGCTTTATGACTTTAGGTGATTTATCTAGATTGTTTCGAAAGCATTTTAAAACAGTTAAGTCATATGTGACAGGAAGTAAAACTGGTTAGTTTTATCAGCACCAGGGCAATTTACTCTCTTGGGGATCAGAAGACCAAGATCATTAAGTACAGCCAAAGCAAAAACCTGTTTGCTTTAAGACTTCTCTAGCCAGCAAACTATTTCACTTTTGGAAGCTTGTTTTTCCCCATTTTAAAAGGGAAATCAGGTATTTCTGACCGTATTTTGACTTTGTAAAGACTAATTTGCTCCAGTGAACTGGATGTTTTTAGTATTCATTTACAAAGTGTATTCAGGCCATTTTACTAGGAAATGTGGTTGTTATTGGAATGTGAAATGTTTATTTGAGCCAGCCTATTATTAACATATATTTTGGGGGAGCACCTATGAGGCATGAGAAGGAAATTAAAATTTAGAAGTAATTACTTTTTCATTTTTAAAAATAAGTAATACATTTATTTGGTTTTTAAAAAAGATTTTAAAAAGTGTTCACTGAGATTTATTATGCCTGTCTACTCTCCCAATCCCTGATATGGAACCATTTTTCTAATTTATTTTTCAAATGTTTATTTTTGCAGATATATTTATATTGTAATATTACATTAGTATGTCTATATAGGCATGCATATATGTGTGTATATCAATGGGTGTATATGTATATGTATGTAGAGTTCCTGCCTTTATTTCTTGTAAAGTGTAGCTTTTTTTGTTTAACAGTATCCTTGGAGATCTTTATCAGTACATAGAGCTCTTTCTCAATCTATTTTACAACTGCATATTTCATGTACCATAATCTAAAAAGTCTCCTATTTATGGATCTTTGGGTTATTGACAGTCTTTCACAAATAGAGCTGTACTGAAAAATCTTGTACATGTGGCATTTTGCACATAGACAAATATATCTGTTTTCTAGATTCCCAGAAGTGGATTTGTTGGATCAAAAGTAGATCCATCTAAAATAGCATGGAGGTTCCTCAGAAAGTTGAAAATAGAGCTACCGTACGACCCAGCAATTGCACTACTGGGTATTTACCCCAAAGATACAAATGTAGGGATCCAAAGGGGCACGTGCATCCCAATGTTTATAGCCGCAATGTCCACAATAGCCAAACTATGGAAAGAGTCTAGATGTCCCTCAACAGATGAATGGATAAAGAAGATGTGGTGTGTACACACACACACACACACACACACACTGGAATATTATGCAGCCATCAAAAAAAAATGAAATCTTGCCATTTGCAACGACGTGGATGAAACTAGAGGGCATTATGCTAAGCGAAATAACTCAAGCAGAGAAAGACAATTACCATACGATCTCACTGATATGAGGAATTTGAGAAACAAGACAGAATCATAGGAGAAGGGAGGAAAAAATGAAACAAGACAAAACCAGAGAGGGAAGCAAACCATAAGAGACTCTCAATCTCAGGAAACAAAACTGAGGGTTGCTGGAGTGGAGAGGGGTGGGAGGGATGGGGTGGCTACGTGATGGACATTGGGAAGGGTATGTACTATGGAGAGCGCTGTGAATTGTGTAAGACTGATGAATCACAGACCTGTACCCCTCAAACAAGTAATACATTATATGTTAATTAAAAAAAAAAAAAAGTAGATCCATCCGTAATTTTGGCAGATATTACCAGTTCCCTTAGCAGGGATCAAGAGTACTCTCACCTGCAAGCAAGGTGTGAGAGTGCCTGTTTCCCATTGCTTCATCTGTACACTGTTGCCACATTTTTTTAATTTTGCCAATCTGGTAGGTGAGAAATTGTATCTGAATGAGGTGAATTTCTCTTATAAGAGGTTGAGTATTTTCCTTTGGAATGCCTTTTATTTATTTAATTTTTTTTATTGTTTCCCCCCAATTTCTAAAAGCTCTTTTTTTATACCATTTTATCATTTCTCTTTTGACTCTGCTTGATGTTGTGTTTATTTGACATGTAGAAGCTTTTTATTTATATATAGTTTACTTTATTGAGCTTTTCTTTCATGGCTTCTAGATTTTGAGTCATAAGAAACATTGATTTCATTGGTATACAGATATGATAGCCAGGAGAAAGTATTGCTTTCAAATCCTGTAATCCGTGTAATTTCTCTGATAGAAAACCTGAAGTCTTTCTTAGCTTGACTCTCTTATACCCATAAGCAATCCCATAGGCAAGTCCCATTGTTTCTTTCTCCAAAGCACCCCAATTCCATGCTTGCACTGTTCCCACCCTGGTCCAGCTGGGACTGTTGTAGCTCCCTAACTGGTTTCCCACTTCTGTTCCCATTCCCCATCCCCTTTGCTTAAAGGGGCAGAATGGATGTTTTAAATGCACATTACATGTTGTCACCCCACCCTTCTAGCTCAGCACACTTAAATAGCTGCATAGCTCTCTGGCACTGATCAAGTGTCACCCCCTCAGGGAGAATGGCCTTCCCTGACCACTCTAAGAATTGTAACTCCTGTCACATTCTTACCTCATCTCCCATTTTGTTTTGTTTTGCTGTTTTTTCGTTAAGTGCTGAATGTCACCTGACTTTATTTCACATGTTTCTGTTTGTTTATTTGTTCGTTTGCTCCCCTAGCACCTCAGCGCCCTTAGAGAACTTTTTTTCACTTGGCTGATTTTTTTTTTTTTTAAAGCTATGGTTGGGAATGCGGAAGTAGCAGCAAGCAGAGGGAGCCATAGTGGCTGATTTATGAACATTGTCATTATGTGTTCTTTGTCAGGGACGCAGTGTTGCATTGAGGCCCAGAAAGCAAACTATGTGGAGACCTGATTGGTGGTATCCTACTCTCCCACACCCACTCACAAGCCCCCTTCAGGTCTCCTAGCCAAGTCTCAGCCAAGCTTCTGAGCAGCAAGGGGAGGGGTCCCACCATTTGAGGAATAACAACTGGTGGACACTGCCCTTCAGGATGGTAGTGACATTGGGCATCAGTGACAGGAGAAGGAGATTCTTAAGGATAGAGCCTGGGATCCTCTTCCAGCTGCCTCTTACATAAGGGCTAACTTCAGGGGCTTGGGTCTTGCTTTCTTCTGGAAAAATAACTGCGTCTGAGTTTTCTGACCACTTCTAAGTGAATAATCTTTCAATTTTTAATATAGCATTTGAACTGGTATTTAAGATTTCCATTTTAAGGTGTGTAAATGCAAAACATTTTAGGAATCATCCCTAATAAGTCATGTGCATATTTTTCTCTGTTCTAGAATGTTTGAAGCCCATATGCAGAGCTACAAGGGCGATGACCCACTTGGTGAATGGGAAAGGTTAGCATTTAGTTTATTTTTTTCCTTTAAACAAACTATATGCTGCCCTGAAAATTAATATTATCCATATTTTTCTAGTTACATGCAGTGGGTAGAAGAGAACTTTCCTGAGAATAAGGAATACTTGACAACATTATTAGAACATTTAATGAAGGAATTTTTGGATAAGAAGAAATACCACAATGACCCAAGATTCATCAATTATTGTTTAAAATTTGTAAGTATACTTTCAGATGTATAATCAAATCTGTAATCCTATTGTACTTCTGCTTGTTTCCCCAGATTTTAAGATCATTTTAGACTGCCTTATTTAATTTTAATTTAATTTTTTTATGTATTTATTTTTTTAAAGATTTTATTTATTTCACAGAGAGAGACAGCGAGAGAGGGAACACAAGCAGGGGGAGTGGGAGAGGGAGAAGCAGGCTTCCCGCTGCAGGCTTCCCGCTGAGCAGGGAGCCCAATGTGGGGCTCGATCCCAGGACCCTGAGATCATGACCTGAGCCTAGGCACCCCTAGACTGTCTTATTTTAATTCCTCTGTTTCCAGTCATAAATTTTTAAAAGTTGTATGGCCAGAGATGTGTATTTTGGAAGCTTTTGGCTTCTGTATTGCAGAGTCAGCAATTTAATTTTAAAACCCTCCTCTATCAAGTCTATAAGTGTTAGGACATGAGATAGAAACCATTAAATTAAAAGGTTTGTTGAATGAGAGGGGTGTGGGGATGGAAGGATAAGCAGGCACTGCCAGGTACTCAGAGGGTTCA